TTGGTTTTAGAAGCGCTAACAAATTCATCATAAAGCTCATGAAGTGCTTCTTGCATTTCTTCAAAAGTATAAGAGTCGGAAGAAATGGTACATACCTCTTGAACGTTGTCGGTTTGATCTTCGTGCGCCATGAGGCAGAGGTTGGCGGCTTCCTCCTCTTCCTGATCCGTTGACTCATCCCCGGAGTCGCCTCCCCAAGAGATGTAGGCGCGTTGCTTTTTGAAGCCAGGTTTGTCCTTGCCGCCTTTGCTTTTTGGACACCTCGGCTTGATGTGGCCTATCTCACCACAACCATAGCACTTCGGGGGCTTGTCGTGCTTTCTTCCTTTTCTTTCAAATTCTTTCTTCATGAATTTGTGGAACTTCTTGATGATGAGTCCGAACTCGTTGTCATCATCGCTTGAGTCATCTTCCACGGACTCCTTGGTTGCTTTCAGCGCTATACCCTTCTTCTTTTGTTCATCCAAAGACGGGGTTAGGATAGTAGATTCATAAGTTTTGAGATTACCTCTTAGCCCGTTGATGGTGACATTTGAGACTCCGATGGATTCATAGATTGCGTCTGCCTTTGATCTCCATTCGGGTGTGAGGCTTCGCAGGATTTTCCTCACGAGATCCCTGTTGGTGTATGTCTTCTTGAGAGCGTGAAGGTCGTTGATGATTTTTGAAAACCGATCAAACATGTCATCGATCTTTTCTCCTTCCTTCATCCTGAACATCTCGTACTTCTGCGTTAGGAAGTCAATTTTGGCTTCCCGAACTTGGTCCGTACCTTCATATGTGACCTCTAGCTTGTCCCACATTTCTTTGGCAGTGGTGCAGCAAGAAATCTTACGATAATCATCAGGATTGACGGCACAGTACAACATATTTATAGCCTTGGCGTAGTTCTCCACCTCTTTGATGTCTTCGGCATCAAATTCGTCCTCGGTCTTTGGGACGAGTTTTTCATCGACCTTCTTCATTGGAGTTTCCTCGCCATTCTTGATGACCAACCACAACTGAAAGTTGGTTGAGCGGATATAAATTCTCATCCGCTCTTTCCAATATGTGTAGTTGGTTCCATCAAAGAGTGGTGGCCTCGAGGTTGATTGACCTTCTCCAATTCCTGCATAAAGATTTCTAGAAGAAGAACCCATGATCGCTTTACTCTCAAATGGTTAAGTTTGGACGCGAGTTAGGCTCTGATACCAATTGTTAGAATAACAGACCAACGCTAGAGGGGGGGGGGTGAATAGCATTTGATCGGAGAAATCGCAGGAATTAAAAAAAAATTAAAAGAGAAGTAAAGAGAAGAGTAAGAGGCACACCGAATTTTACCCTGGTTCACCACAACTTGTGGCTAATCCAGCCTCCCGAGAGACTCTCTCGAGCTACACTACTAACTCGTTAAGCTTACAGGTTCTTAACAAACCGTTACAACTTGAGAGTTCGAGTCACACGAACCTCAACGAATCCTTCAAAGGAAACAGACCTTCCTTTGAATCAACCGAGAGAGATACTATCTCTCAACGTGTCTAAGAACGCAAGTACACTCAAGAACGAGACTCTCTTATAGAGTAGATTATGAGTAAACTAAGAACGCTCAAGAACAACTCAACCTTCACACACAAATGGCTCTAGAAAGCTATGGAAAATGATGATATTTGAATGCAATGAAAGTATAGATGTTGTGAAGTGAATTGGTGAGAAAAGCAGACCCAAACACCCCTTTTTATAGTGCCAAAGAAGGCTCCAACGGACCAATGCATTAAAGGGGTGATTAGTTTGATTTATGGGATTGAAAAGATTTGGGATCTCCAGAATATTGGCTTCCCATCGATGTTTAGACTCAACCATCGCTGGTAAGCCAATTTTTCTTCAGTTTTGAAGTCAACGGTCACCTACCCATCGATGGGTACAAGCTTCCCATCGCTGGGTGGGAGGTTGACTTCCAAACAAGGAAAGAATCAACCTTTAATGACCACCAACGGTCATGCCTTCCCATTGATGGTATACCCTTACCATCGCTGGGTTCCCATCGATGGGATAGGCTTCCCATCGCTGGGCAAGGTCGTTCTGCCTTGTGGTAATTTTGCACCAAGGCTTTAACAGCGATGGGTGGAACTCCCCATCGCTGTTTGGCATGGTTCTGGAAACTGGTTTGGCTGAAGGGCCGCTTACCCATCGATGGGAAGATCTTCGCATCGCTGGGTGGGTGGTTAGTCAAGAACCCATGGTTTTTGCCTTAACCACGGCCTAGCCAGCCGATGCGAAACCCGACCGAAAAATTCAAAGTTCTCCAAAATAAAAACCAAGTGTTCAAAACACTTATTTGATGTATTTGGTTAATAAATAAAGTAAGACACTTTAAAAACCACGTCATTTGAGTGAAAACCACGGCTAGCCAAGTTTATGCCGTTTTGAATGATTTTTGTCAAACGACCAAAAGCGAAAGATGGTTTTCAAGGTGTTTTTGTTGGAGAACCGTTTAAACATGCCAAAGAGTGAAAACCAATCATAAAAAGTTGAAAACCACTTGGTTGGTT